CGTCCGACTCGAGCCACTTGCTTGCCGCCGCCTCCGAGTCGAACAGTCCGAGCTCTGCTGCTACACCAGCGAGATATGAATTGTCGGACATGTCCTTGCTGTTGGCATGGAAATCCTGGTAGAAGCGATCCATCAGACGCACTTGCAACGACTTGACGCATGCGCCAGAGTCTTGACCGGATACGGATGCGCTTTGCTCGTCCAGCTGACCCGCCTTGAGCACAAGACGATGCGCATTCCATGTGGCACCCACTCTTCCCGAGCTGGTCCAGTCGAATGTAGGCATGCCCAACGCCGTTGCCGCCGTCGAGATCTTGGCATCGAACGCGTCCAGGTTGCCGCCGAACTTGGACCCGTAGTAGAACTTCTTGGTGGGCGGCGTGTTCTTCTCATACGGTGTCGTCTCGATGGCATCATAGTATTTGGATGGCGTGTCGTACGTCGATGCAGGAAGGCGCGGATCAAGGATGTACGGCTCAATCTTGACCACCGTATTGACGTGGGGTGCGATCTGAGTCTTGAAATCTTCCGACTCGAGGAATGCCTAGCAGCAGCAGGGAAGAAAGAGTCAGCATTGCCCTCAAAGACACCAGTCGTGAACTATGCACTATAGACGTGTGCTTATGTTCCGAGCGAGAGGAGTTCTAGCACCCGCGCCGACAGAGGAAAAGGCATGACTCACCCATAGTGCCCGTGACCCGACGAAACACCACGGGCAGATGACGTCGGTCACCACTTGAACCAGCAGCTCGGGCTTGCTCATCTTGATGTTGGTATTGTAGCTCGGTAGAAGTGCGATCACGGTGGTCCGTAACGAAGGTATGAGCGGGACATACGAGCGGACGTCGAGGGATGGCTCGAGCGGGAGCGCTTGCTCTCTTGCGGAGGTGGAGGCGGCAGCGCGCCGTGCATCGCCGATTCTATGCCGATAGGACGACCCGATCGCCAAACCTCGAGCCGATCTAAAGTTGTGGCTGTTAGACCCGCCTGAACAGCCGCTCAAAAAAAAATTTGGGCCGACCTTTCACGCTCCTCCGAACAAGGCCGACACGACCGTCTCCCGAGAATCGAGGCCACGTCACAGCCACACGATGGCGGCACGATGCGTGCCGTTGGACAAGCTGACAGAGTTCCGATTCATCCAAGCCACCATTGCGTTGGTCGTCCTTCCTTGTGAAAAGCGAAACAGCGATGGTCGGGCAATTTGTTCGGCGGTCTCACCGCCGATTGGCCGAGTGGCCTCATCGCGAGCACAGCTTACGAGTGGATTCGACAATGGCGTCTAGACCGCTCTGGGCCATCAGCACCATGCTTCTGCTGTCTGCAAGATGCAGGCAAAAACGTGCACAATTGTACGATTATACTGGCCGCGTCACGATGCTGTGCAGCCATGCCGGATTGCAGGTTGCGGCATAGAACATGCGACTAGCTTTGTTTCACGCGATGTCGTCCCAAACTACTGCTCGACTTGGCTTGTCCTTTGTTCTGACAATGATCGTGGCAGATCGATGATGGACGTTGCGTACAAAGGGAATGGCAGCATGCTGACCTGCTAAAGTCAAGAACGATGTGAAAGTCGAGGGTAGAGCAATTGCGATGTGGCTGGAGAGGTGGCGTGAGAAGCTGTCGGTAAGAGGCGCAACTTTAGACTCGCACGCAACCTGAGCTTGGGCCGCTGCAGGATTTTGGCGTGCAAGGGGCGCGAAACGTGGGCTGCCGTATCAAAAAGCGACCTGAGCACGTCGCATGACCAGGCCTTATCAAGAGCTTCCGATGTTGATTCGCATGAACGACGCTCGTGACAAAGGGAATCCTCCTCGAAGGCTCTGGGCCCAGGGCATTGCCCCTTAAACCAAAACTTTTTGCTGTTTGATCGCAGATCAGGGCGGTTAAACATCGCTGAGCCTCGGGCTCTCTGTGACCTGCCTGCCTGATGTCCCGTCATCACCGGACTGGTGGTGCCGAGAGAAGCAGGCTTTGTCACTCTGGCAACGAAGGAAGGGTGAAGAAAACCTCCGATGCTCGCGTGTACGGAGAAAAAAAAAAGAAAGAGGCGCATCGAGGCGTCACGCCGTGGCTGCCGAGCCCAACTCAGCAGCGGCAGCCTTGCCTGACGTGAGTTTGTGCAGAAGCGAGGCCACGCCGTCCGAGCCGATGATCGCTGACACGCGACTGGTTTTTTGTGTCCGGCAGTAGCTTAGCGTCGTCAGGCGCGCGCGCCGGGTGAGATTCAAGCTAGCACCTGCATGTCGAGTTTTGTTTGTTTCGCGTTCCTCATTGTCCGCGCAGCAAGCGAACGATGAACAGCGGAGCGAGAGGGAGAGCCCTATTTTGAACAGGGGTCATGCAGAGCCGAGCATTTTCACGGCGGTGTCGCTCGCTCGCACGCGCACATCGAGCTCGACGACAAGCAAAGTCTTCCCTTCCTTTGTGTCTGTTCCACGACAGAGAGAGTCCGTGAAAGTGCTAGTCGACGATTTCTTTGACGGCTGAATCGGCGGCGTCCCGACCTGTCATGAGATGGTGTGCTTTGGTGTCCATGCCGTCGCCGTAAGCGATATGCCCCTGACCACTCGGAGGACGTTCCGACTGAGCGCTTGTCGCAACCTTCGATGCAATCTCCGTGGAGGACCGTCCTGGATCGAGTGCGGACATTTCGATGGCTCCCGATCATCTCAGGGTGTCCGCGCTGAGGTGCGTGGGCGGTTACCGGTACCCACCAATCGAGCAAGATTGTGTGGGCTGACGTCTGGCGGGCCGAGGGGCAGGGGCGAGGAGCGGCTGAGTTTCATGCACACAGAACCGTGTAAATCAGACGAAGAAAATCTCCGAGCTTTTCAGGGGAGGCACTTTCTCGGTTGTTTCCTGCGTGGTCCCTCGCCGATGCTCGGCAAAGTCGAGGTGTTTGCACATGGGGCCTGGCCTTGTCGCACCGTCACAATCCACGGTCTTTCCACCTGCCGAGGGTCCAGCGATGCAGTCATTGAGATTTCATGCGAGCCAGTGGCGGCGTGCTTGACAACTGTCGGCCACAGCGGCCCGCAGCACAAAGCAGAGCTCTGCGGCGGGAGCCGCAAGCGCCAAGATGCCCACAGGAGGTGCTATCTTGGGAAAGCTAGTCTAGACGGGATCGGTCGGGACGAGCTCGGTGGTGACAGCGCACGCTATTGCGTCGACGTGCTGCGATCGAGCGGCGTCAAATGAGGTCGACGGCGATCAAAGGGCAGCGCTCGTGATGCATGGCCGAGCGCGCGAGTTTGTCGGTTTCACACCGAGAAAAGACCGTGACGCTTGGACAGCAGCACTCAACAATCGCTTCGTGCTGCCCAATTAACGCCTGCTTTCAGGGCGGCGAACTGCTCGATATGAAGCGTGACGCCTCCCGAGGACGAGCACCGCGCGGCCTTATGGTGCCCACCTCGGCATCGATGGGGCTCGGAACGTTTCCGTCCCTGTTGGCGTGGTGCTCGCTGGCGTGGTGCTCGCTGGCGTGATGCTCGGATCTCTGTTCGCAAAAGAAGGGTGCCTAAGCGCACTCGTGTGGACCTTCATCTGTCGCATGACCTCTGCGCTCAGCTCAGCCGCTTTGCCTGCTCGCTTCGCGGACCGCTCGTGAAATCCTCCGAAACCTGTACACGTATGCTGCTGTCCTTCGGATCGGCCTCGTGTAGCCCCTGTAAGGGACCCTGGCTGAGTCAAGGTGGGAGCTCTTAGGCATGGTTTCCAATATAAGACTGCCACCACCTTGTGGCATGCAACCCTCCTTTCCTACCTCCTACCTCTCTCCGACCTTACTAGCCTTTCTACGAGCCGACAGAAAGCCTCCTCTTGCCGTTCAGCCTTGCTACAGCACCGCCTCTGAAGAGCCAGCCAGCATTGCGTGTGCCAAGCGCGACACGCCAAGACCCCTTGGCGCACACTTTGACCTGGCTTTCAACCGCGGCATCCCTCACCACTCACCGCGCCGTGTCTGACTTCCAAAAAAAATCGAAAAAATCGAAAGAAGCAAAGTCCAATTTTCGCTGTCGATCTGCGCCACAAAGCCGCACTTTTCTAGCCGCTTTCGGAAGTTGTGCACTGCGGCTGTTGCATGCCAGTCTAGGGATCGCCTGCTAAGCACCTCTCTGCACGTACGCCCAGCCGACGGTTTCTGCTGCAGCTCGTTTCAACAGCAAAATTGGTGCTTGGCTATTGCCTTGGCTCTTCATCCTCCACACCCTCGTCGATCCATCCGGCTGGCTCGCTTTACCGTGCAGCCGGGTCTCGCGATCCGCTCAGTCGAGCCCTGTCAGGATCTGCACCGCTAGTTTAGCTCGAAGCACGCCCTTCGATCGGCAGCTGACCAGGCCATTTTGCCCCGTCGCGCCTTCTCGCCAAAGCTCGAGCCCCGCACGTCCTAGTATATCTTGAACTCGGCCGCAAGCATGAAGCTGCCGCTCCCCACTTCCCTCAAGCCGTCTTCTCCTCCACCACCGACCTTCGAACGCGCCCGCAAGTATAAGCCGCCTCCCACATCCTTTCACTCCTCCATCCAGGTGGTCGACGAAGAGTTTGGCACCCCACGGACAAGTACCCAGGTCAAGCAGGCCTATCTCGACTCGCATCCCAATTCCGACGCCGAGAGCTCCAACTCGTCCATCCACCAGCACTCCCATCATCGTCACCAGTCCAGTCCCGCAGGCACACCGTCTCTGATCCGCTCATCTATCGGCTCTCGATCCTCCTCTGCTCGCCAAG